TGGTGTTTCAAGAGAAGCGGGTTGGGTACTGGAAGGAGTGTACCAGCCTTCTGGAAACCAAAAGAGTCAGAGAATACTCAAAGAAAATGTACTGGAATGGTTGGGAAAACACTGGAACAAAAGCCTCTCAACTGTGAATAGCATATGAAACCCTCATTAGCCTGAAACATAAGAACTAAAGTCTGTGCGTGTACTGGTTTTACCTCAGAGTTACCTATATTGAGTTACCTCAGAAATTTCAGCCCCTTATTTCACCTAACCTTTCCCCTCTATGATGAATAAAATCTTTTGTTAATTTTGAATTTCAAAACATCTCAAGTGCCATTTTCAGTGGTTTAAGTTAAAGGGCAATCCCAATGCTTCCCTCAGGTTCCAGGGCTGAGCAAAAAGCCAAAATATTAAGAACATAAGAAACATAAGAGACGCCAATGTTGGATCAGGCCAAACGCCCATCCAGTCCAACACTCTGTGTCACACAGTGGCCAGAAATACCAGTGCCTTCAGGACGTCCACCAGTGGAGACAGAGCATCACTTGCCCCAGAGCCCCTAGCTATACCTTGTGGCTAATAGCCACTGATGGACCTCTGCTCCATATGCTTATCTAATTCCCTTTTGAAGCCGTCCATGCTTGTAGCACCCACCACTTCCTGTGGCAGTGAATTCCATGTGTTAATCACTCTTTGGGTGAAGAAGTACTTCCTTTTATCCGTTCTAACCCGACCGCTCAGCAATTTCATGGAGTGCCCACGGGTTCTTGTATTGTGAGAAAGGGAGAAAAGTACCTCTTTCTTTACCTGCTCTTTCCCATGCATAATCTTATAAACCTCGATCATGTCACCCCTCAGTCGTCTTTTCTCCAAGCTAAAGAGCCCTAAGCGCTTTAACCTTTCCTCATAGGGAAAGTGTTCCAACCCTTTTATCATTTGAGTTGCCCTTTTCTGCACTTTTTCCAAAGCTATAATATCCTTTTTAAGGTGTGGTGCCCAGAACTGCACACAGTATTCCAAATGAGGTCTCACCATTGATTTATATAGGGGCATTATGATATTGGCTGATCTGTTTTCAATACCCTTCCTAATAATCCCCAGCATAGCATTGGCCTTCTTTATTGCAGTCACACACTGTCTCGACATTTTCTCAACTCCAAGATCTCTCTCTTGATCAGTCTCTGCCAGTTCAGACCCCATCAATGTGTATTTATATTTAGGATTCCTGAATTCTTCAGGAAAGAAGAAAACAGACACCTATGGCAGCTCAGTCACAAAAGGGAAAGAAAAATGGAGAGAAAATCTTGCCTCTGAGGGAGAGGGAGAGAAAGGGAAGGGGGTCATCATATTTGGTGGGAATGTGCCTTGAATGGTTTAATGCGAGTCAAAAGGACTTGCCAGAGTTCAGTTCTGTAACCTATTCAGAATGCAAAGACCATGTGAATAACATTGCCTCTGAGCATACACAGAGGCCGGGGTCCAACATACCTACGGGACTGCCTTTCCCCGTATATACCCCAGAGAGCACTACGGTCTGGGTCTCAATATCGGTTGACCCTCCCTGGCCCTAGGGAGGCCAGGCTAGCTGCTACTAAGGCCAGGGCCTAGTGGCGGCCCATACCTGGTGGAATGAGCTCCCAGAGGAGATCAGGGCCCTGCAGGACCTTTCACAGTTCTGCAGGGCCTGCAAGACGGAGCTCTTCCGCCAGGCATGTAACTGGGGGCCTCGGCCGCCTTAGTGCACAGTCCGTAATATTGACTGCCTCTTTTAGCAGCTGCCTCAAGAACAAGAAAAATAACATCCAAACACTTCTGTGGAATAACAGCGAAGCACTTTATTTGAAAATATCTCATTTGTTTATTTTAACTGCCGCCAGTACTTTGTAACATTTGTAATGCATTATTTTAATTGTTGTGTTTTAATTCTGTACTATTTATGCTTTTATTCTGTATTGTTGTATTGTTGTTGGAAGCCGCCCTGAGCCTGCTTTGCAGGGAGGCCGGGGTATAAATTTGATTATAAATAAATAAAATAAATAAATATTCATTCCTCAGCCACTTCACATGTCTAGGAAAGGCGTGATCATTTGACTGGGGCATGGTTCCTAAGCAGCCTTGATCACAGTCCATTTCATAGAAGGCATTTCTGAACAGTTCTATTAACATACTGATTCAACTGTGGCTCAGGAAATTCCCAGAGATTTGGGGACAGTGCCTGGAGAACATGGAGCCAGGGGAAGGGAGGGGAGGAAACTCAGCAAGGATGTGATGTCACTCTAGTACTTCCACTTCTTCACTCTGTGGTCTACCATAGAATTCTCCCTCAGGCAGTGTTCCCTCTAAGCTGAGTTAGTGTGAGCTAGCTCACAGTTTTTTAGCTTCCAGCTCACAGATTTTAGTCTTTGCTCAGGAAGGAAGACTCCAGAGCCAACTAATTTATGCAGTAGCCAAATTGCTTGCTCACAAATTTCATGCCAGTAGCTCACAGAGTAGAATTTTTGCTCACAAGATTCCACAGCTTAGAGGGAACATTGCCCTCAGGAGATGCCATTTCCCCCAGATGGAATAATATCTGTGGTCTGGAGATTAGCTGTAATTCCAAAAGAACTCCAGCTTGATAACCCTGGAGAGAGCTGAGCCACTATGGTGCCTCAGCACCCTCTCCATTGTGCTGACCCAAATAGTTGTTTGGATGGGTTGATCAGGGAACTGGCTCTGAATTTGCCCATAAAAAGCAGCTGTGGGGAGTGTCACTTGGATCAATGGCATGGCACTGGAGAAGGATGTATGTGTGTTAACCAACCTCCAGGCAGGGACTGGAGTTCCTGCAAAATTACAATATCTCTGTTCTACAAAGATCAGTTCCAATGGAGGAAATGGCAAGTTCAGAGGGTGGACTCCACAGCATCACGTTGAGTCCTTTTTCAGTCCCAAACTCCACCCTCCCTAGGCACTGCTAGGGTTACCAGTATACAGCCAGAAACCCCCAGGAGCAATTTGGGGGCAAAGACTAGGCTGCTGACATCACTTCCGGAGAAAACCAGAAGTGACACCATGGGGCACTCTCTATGGTAAAACCATAGATCTTTTTACAAATTCTACAATGTCCCATGAAGTCATGTCCAGTTTTTATTTATTTATTTAAAACATTTACTGGCTACCTTTCTTCATTGAGAAGGACTAGAAAAAGCATCAGAAATGAAGGTATTGGCTAAGTAGCCTGGAGGAAAATAATATGAAATAGAAGCTTAAAAAACAAAATGGTATCTTTTAAGTTTTAAATTGTAGTAACATGGATTTTAAAACTGTAACATGTCGAATTTATTGTATTTTGGTTGCTGCAAGCCACCCTGAGCCCTGCTTGGCAGGGAATGGAGTGGCATATAAGCCTAAATAAATAAATAAATGAACCTTAGGGCCTTCTCTTTTCCTGGCTACTCTGCTGCAACCAGTGAGTTACCTGTTGAAAACAGGAGATTTATACAGGGCTACAGTATCAAATAGCCTGTCTAGTACAATGTACCAGATAACTCAGGAGGCCCTTCATGCAGGAAATCAAATAGGTCCTACGATCTCAGATGAACTTGCAAAGAAAAATTATTATTTATAATAAGAAAACCATGTCACCAGCTAGAGAACATTTTTTCCCAGTTTTCACTGGTGGTTGACCATTTTCTGAACCTGGCTTCTTCTCCTCTCTCTGATCTCCCCATCCTTTTCTAAAATATGTCCATTCAACATTTTGCAAAGTTGTCCCTATTAATTAAACAAGCTGGTCAGAGATCTTGGGGTTGTTATGGCAGTCCACAGAGCTCTAGGGGATTATTTATTGCATTAAGAGTTTTGATGTGCTAATACTTCTGTGATTAGGTCACTGTCTACTTTCAAGTGACTAAAAATACTTCCATTGCTAACCCACCCCATCCATTATCAGTTTTGTATCAATAACCTTGGAACCAGGTTAGAAAAGAAAACTAAGCACATGAGAAAGAAATTTTCTTTGGGCTTTTCAGAAAGGAAGCTGCAAGTTACTACATGCTGTGATTTCTGAGCTGTATGTTTGGAGCAGGGATGCACCTAAACCCGTGAAAAATCTTGTGGCTGCTTGCACGCTAAAGTCCAACAAGCAACTTTGGAGCCCAAGAAACTGTTTTCTTTTTCTTAATTTGGGTTTGGGGTGCATGCGCATCAATTCAAACTGAACAGCACAGTCTATCAGTTCTGCCCTAGGCAGAAACTGTATGCTCACCTCTGGTTAGATTACCCATTGTGTGTTGGATATTCAGCCAACCAGCAAGATTTGTAGCATACTATGGCATGACTACCCTGACCTGGATGTCCCAGACTAGCCCAGTCTTCTCAGAACTTGGTAGCTAACCAAGGTCGACCCTGGTTACTATTTGGATGGGAGACCACTATGGAAGTCCAGGGTTGCTACACAGAGGCACAGAATGACAAACCATCTCTGAATGTCTGCAGCCTAGAAAACCCCATGGAGTCACCGTTAAGCTGGCTACAACTTGATAGCACTTTCTACCATCACCAAGGCATGACTGCACCTTCAGTGTACCTCTGCAACCTATACAGCAGGGGGATGTGATCACTGCAATGGTGCTGTCAACATCTGTATGTCAGAAGCAGCGCAGGTATTAGGTTATATAGCAGTATGCTTTTCTTAAACATGTACACCTGTGACCTAGGATAGTTCATTCTGCAACATCTCAGCACAACTACATATACACGTGAAGCCTAAGCATCAGCTACGGACTTGTGCACATCTCTGCATGTGCCAGACTTTTTTTTATATAAAGTCTCCGTGTCTGGAAAAACTAGAATCTTCCACTGGGGGGGGGTCTTCATTTCACCTGTCCAGCATCGACTTCTCAGGGACCAGAATGGAATCCTTCTTCATTGGCTGAGCCACAGCTTCTAGCTCACATGACACATTCCTCAATCCCCTATCCCCCACACAAAGCAGATCTTGGAAGCTGATGCCTCCTCGCCAGCCTTACCTCCATCCGCATAGGTCTCGGTGCCATAACCATCCTGAAGCCCGTTATTCCAGGTGCCTTCATACTTGGCTCCGCTGCTGACGTTCTGCCGTATCCCGTACCTTCCCTTGAAGCCGTGGGTCCACTCGCCTTTGTAAAGCCAGCGCCCTTTGGTCTCGATCCCCAAGCCGTGCCTCTTGCCCTGAGACCAATATCCCTCGTAGGTGTTGCCGCTGGGCCATGTGTAGACTCCCACCACTTCAAAGCCATAGTTCCAGGATCCGGAGTATTCACCCTGGCCCTTGGGGCCGGTGCAGATGCCATGCCCATGGGCCTTGCCCCCTTCCCAGCCCCCACAATATGCCCCTCCGTCATCAAAGTCAAACCTTCCGCCACTCATGGTGCCAGCAATCCACAAATCCCTACTCTTCTCTCTTCTGCCTTCCCTCTCCTTCCTATTTTAGCCAGATTGCTTCTCCATTAGGCGAAAGCTGAACACGCTGCAGCATAGTCAAGGGATTCCTAGCTACCTCCAGACTAAGGTGTTGAGCCCCCAACAGAGGATGGGACTGGGGAGGTAAGAAAGGGCAGGAAGGCAAAGATGCCCGTTTGCAGGGACGCAGAGGGAGGAAAGCCTGCCTAACACTAACCTGTGGGATCAGGAGACATGGGAAAGACCCTGAACTGGCCTTTGGGGGCAGGCTGGAGACGCTGGTGAACTTCCCTCTCAGCTGCAAGCCACTCGAGCCCACATCCCTTCCTCCAAACCATGCCCCGGGCAAAGCGCTGGGATGCTCATCTGCAAGGCACCAGACTCCGCATCCCTGCTGCCTCCTCCCAGTGCCCCAGCCTACACTGGGGAGGGAGGGGGGAGCAGCCGGCCCCTTTAAGAGCCTATGCACAAGGAAGTAAGGAAGAGCTGGGTGCCTTTCACCCCCCCTCCCCCCAGGTCTCCCCTCCTTCCCTCTCCCCTGGGCCACGGTGCCCTCCCAGACTGCTGCTGTGCCACCTTCCTTTAGAGTCCCATAAGCTCCGCACGTCTTCGGCTCTGCCCTCTGCAGCCCCCCCCCCTTCCCTCTTGCCTTCCACCACCTCCAGCAGAAAGGTCAACTGTGCCCTAACAAGGCCATCGGATCCCCAGTGCTGCTCCTAAAATAGACTCCCAGAGCCCGGCCCCTTTTCCAGGGCCCTTTTATGGAGGACTGAGAGAGCCCCCCCCCTACACACACACACACACACACACACGCTGTTGGACTGGGACCAAAAAAAGAAGGGGGAGAGAACGAGAGAGAGGGAGAAAGCAAGAGCCGGTTTTAAAAATAGCAAGCTGGAAAGCGTCCGGCGCGATCTTCGCCTGGGCTGTGGCTAGAAAGAAGTTCTGCTCGTAACGACAGAAAGGCGATCGGAGGTGGGGGGGGTGCGGGGGTGGGATCAGAGTACAGGAGAGAACAGTGTGCTTGTCCGGGGGGGGCGGGGAGTAAGAAGCGGGGCGTTGGTGGGATCGATCCTGAAAGGCCAGTTTTCTGAGAAGGTGGGGCCGGTTACTTCCCTTGGGAAGTACCTATAATTCGTTGAATAGCAGGCTCAGCCCGGGACTGTTTGGAGATCATTTTCTCAAGACAACACTGGTAGAACCATTTTTCTATAAAATATTGAACACTGAGAAAAGTGTCTGGGGACAAAGACCTGAGACAGCCAGCTAGAAAGCGCATCATGGGATAACCTTTGACCCGTGGCTTGGTGTTCACAGGGTTCAGGTGGGTCACCAGGATAGTCTGAAGCAGGAGAATAAAGTTTAAGTCCAGTGGGGCACCTTTAGGACCAACGAAGTTTAAGTCTGGCTATGCGCTTTGATGTGCCTGCACAGGGTTGTTGTCCATGGAAGGAAGGAGGAATCAGGCATATCGCTGAAGGGCTTTGGGGGAGGGGGGGGGAAGGTGCCGGAACTCTCAAGAGGGAAATGAAGTTTTCAATCTGTATACGGAAAACTCAGGAACTTTTAAACAGGTTAAAAAGAATTTTGTCAAAGAGGTTCCGGAACTCCGTTCTGGCGTGTTCCCCCAGAAAAAAAGCCCTTAGACTCCCTGGAGGAAAAGGCAGGATAAAAGTGAGATGATGCCATAAGCTAATGGCATTCTTTCCCAAGGCAGACACCCCACCCCACCCCCGCCAGGAATTAGTAGTGCTTTGAAGACTAGTTAGGTTGTAAGTCCTCAGTTCCTCCAAGATGGTCTGCGTTAGGGTGTACAGAACAGGGGAAACTCCCCCCCCCCCGCCATCAAGTCACAGCTGACTGGTGACGACCCTGTAGGGTTTTCAAGGCAAGAGGCATTCAGAGGTGGCTTGTCATCGCCTGCCTCCACAGAACAACCCTGGACTTCCCTCATGGTCTCCCACCCAATCACTGACCAGGGCTTACCCTGCTTAGCTTCCAAGATCTGAGGAGATCAAGCTGATCTGGGCTATCCAGGTCAGGGCATACACAGGAAGTTACATTTTTTTAAAAAAAAATCACCCTGTGTACATTCTGTACTCACTGTAGTCAAGACAGTTACAAACAGGTTTGGTTTTCATGTCCAGCAATGTGGTGCTTAAGAGCTGTGACTCCAGTCGCTCCATTGGAAGCAGTCTTAGGTCTACTCCACCCCAGGCCACAGGTTGGCATCAGTAGAAAAGAGCAAGAGTCCAGTAGCACCTTAAAGACTAACAAAATTTGTGGCAGAGTATGAGCTTTTGTGAGTCACTGCTCACTTCTTCAGATATAGTGAGCAGTGACTCATGAAAGCTCCTACCTTGTCACAAATTTTGTTAGTCTTTAAGGTGCGACTGGACTCTTACTCGTTTCTACATCTTAACATCAGACCCTTTACAATGGCACCAGTATGGCATCCATATTGGTTTACAAGAACTGTGCTATGGAACTGTTCTACTGGCTCTTAAGGGGCCCTTTCATCCCCTACTTCCCTAAGCAGAACTAGAGCAGCTCCCGGAACCAGAAACATCTTCTAAGAAGAGGGGTGGGGGAATCAGAAAAGCAGGGACAAGCCCAGCTTCCTCATTTAATCTTTCTTCTCCTTCAGTCACACCTGTCTCTTGTCATGCAGCAAGAGAAGGCAGGAAGGCAAAAGATGCGATATTTCCTGAGCATGGTATTAAAAGGAACAGGTGCACATTATGCAGGAACAAAGACAAACAGGGAGCTAATCTGTGTGACTTCTGACACATTATGCAGCCATTACAAATCATTAAAGTGCCAGAAATTTTCCAAGTTATCTCTGGCCCCAATAACTCCCGCCTGAATGGGGAAAAAATCTTTGCCACTTTTGGAGTGCATGGCCATAACAAATACACTTGCAGAAGAATAAAATAGTAAGAGTCCCAAACATGTAATTACCAGGTTTAGAACTATCAATCAGTCACCACAATCCCTTTCATGATTACCCTTCAAGTCATATCACGTTTCCTCTTGCAGAGTCGCTGTTGAAAAGGCATCCCCTAGATTGTCAGGAGAAAGCCAGGTCTTCTCACAGATCTGGAAAGCCTCCGCCATGCTGCAAGAGAGGGTTTCACCACCTTTCTAGCAGAGAGGCTGTGCACTTTCCTCTCTGCTATAGGCACCGAGTGCCAACTCTGTGTGTACAGATTCCAGGGTATTAGGGAAAATAAAAGCAGTGTATGATGAGAATCTAAGAACATAAGAAGCGCCTGCTGGATCAGACCAGGGGTCCATCTAGTACAGCAACCAGTTTCACATAACAGCCACCCAGTTACGCTAGAGGGATAAACAGCATAGAGGCCAAGGGCTTCTCCGGGTATTACTTGGCTAGTACCACACCAAGTGGGGCTGATTAGATGTGTTACCTACACAAGAGTGAATCTTCTGAAGTGAGTTTCTCTATTGGCTTGGCTGTCCCAAGCACTGAGTAAACAGACAAAGCAACAAAAAGATGCTGCCTTGAAGCAACACAGATTTTTATTTGTCTCCGAGTCTGCTAGACAAATGTTTTTAAAAGATAGTCACACGTCTCATTTTTACGTTGCACCACCTGTACCAAGCCCTTTTTTCAACTAGCGCTTTTTTAGAAAGTTGCAAACACCAACATACATGCTGATACTGTCCTTTCAGGTCAAGCTCACCACAGTACTGTCTGAGTTGTAATGGGCCCAGCATATTGCTGTACCAAGCAGCTTTATAGTGGTCTGATTAGGAGGCTGGAAGTTTGGCCGTTGTCTTGGTCAGACCATTATCTATTGAAGGCGCAGTTGAGATTGCAGCTTCCCCTGCAAGGGTGGTGGACCAGTGCTCAGGTAGGCCTCAGCTCAATAATTTACCAGGGAGCTGGCGGAACAAGGAAGCAGATTGGGAGAGGACTAGAGCAGAAGGCTCAGGATGAATCAAAGCGCTCCACAAAGCCCATTTGCAGGCCTGCGTAGTGGCAGTGGAGACCAAGGGTTTTTTCTGCCACCACTGTGTCAGCAGAATCTCATCCTGCTCAGTTGTTTGAAGCGGTTCATGAGTTGCTAACACTCAAATCCATCCTCATCAGTGATATTAATTTGGCCCCGCCTGTAGTGTTTTTGCAAAGTTGTTTGCTGCCAATACCTCTCTTTCATTTTGACTTGGAGTCCAAATTGAGAGTAGATTCAGAACCTGAGTAATCAGACGTACCTGCTGATCCTTTTATTATAGGTGATTCAGATTGATCCCGGCCATAGTCCTTTGGAGAGAGCCACCACTTGTGCTCTTGACCTGTGCCCATCCTGCTTTTTAAAAAACTTTGCCAGGAAAAGCCTCTCTGACCGGGGGGGGGGGGGGGCACTTTGGGGGATAAAACAATGCAGCAATCTGACCTCTGTTTAAAAACCCTGCAGTAGCTAAGGATGAGGTGGCCAATTATAGGCCAGTGTCCAGTTTCCCTTTGCCAGGGTGCCCTCTAGAGAACCACAGGGTTCTATTCTCCCATCTCTGTTCTTCACATTTGAAGCCTTTGAATAAAATCATGTGGACTTCTGAAGTTGGATTGCATCTATATGCAAATGACACCCAACTGTATATTACCCAAGCTTTCATTTCAGATGTGTCCATCCTGGCTAAAGCAGAGCAAGCGGAATCCAGACAAAACAGACACAATGCTGGCCAGGAACACTGTTTTATAGGGACAGCAGTGGAGTGGCATTTGCAGAGCAGGTTAAGAACTTGGGGCGGGGAGATCATGGACCCAACCTTGCTGCTTGAAAAGCAGAGTGGAATATTGGACAAGAGCACCTTCTGTCATTTGCATCTGACTCCGCTATTCTGGCCACACTGATCCATGCTTTTTTTTTTGTAACATTACTGCCATTGTGCTCTATGTTGGGCTGCCCTAGAAGACAACCTGGAAACTTAAGGTGGTTCTTAATGCCACAGCCCAATTGCTGTCATCAGGGAATAACCAGCAGGAACATGGCTTGCCTGTCTTAAAACAGCTACACTGCCTGCCAGTTTGCTTTCAAGTTGAGCTGTTAGTTACCACCCTTAGATATGTGGGCCCCAGGCCCTGAAAGGCTTTAAAGGACATGCTCTGATAAATCACAGTGTGCCAAATACAGTCTTCAAGATGCCACCTACTGGCTGTTCCCCCACTTAAGGCTCCCCCGCTTATCTGACATCTTCCAGAGCCTGTGCCTTCTCAACTGATGCTCCCAGGGTTTTTGGGGAGTGCCAGTTAGACCTTTGGAAGTGCAAGTGTGCCTTGGGTGGAGGGGGTTTATTTTGCTGCTTTTAATTATGATTTGTAAGCTGCTTTGGAGCCACAAGGAAAAGCGGGATATAAATATTTTAATAAGTAAATAAATGTGTACTAAAGAACTTGCTTCCTTGCTTCCAGAATTACTGGAAAGCCAGTTAAAATGAGTTCTGAATGGAAACTGTATGAAGAGGCACACAACCCAAATTCCTTCATGCAGTAGTTGAAGTGGTATTTCTCCTTACCTATACAGAGCATGGCTGACACCTAGTGGCAACATAAATTACTTAAGCTTCTGTCTATGTTCTCATTAGCGAACCCAAAATTTACATTTCCTGTTTGTTATTAACTCATTTCACAGGATTCCTTGCCCTATAAAGTTCTTGTTCAAACCTATTTTACGAGGCATATAAAGCAATGCAAAGAGGAGAGGGAGAGAAAAGGCAACCCCGTTTTTCCCTTTAAGGGATGGAGGATTATACTCCAAAGCAACACCCTATTTGATGAACACTAGAGAAGACCCAAACAGGAAGCAAGATCAGCTCAGAAGAAACTGGATTTTATCAGCTATAAGTCATTTCCATAATTTAATAGCCAATGGAGAACTGTACAGAAGCTGTGAACAATCCCTGGAAAGTTAACAAAGGCAAGATATGTCCTTCAGCTCATAGAGAGGGCTTTGGTTTCTCCCTGGACTGCCGAGTCAGTTCCATAAATGCATATTTTCACCATTCTAGTCATTTATCCAAGCTGTACTTTCATTAAGCGCACACTCTATATGCATGTCCTGACCTTGCTTCTTGCTTTTCCAGCCATCTGGTCTGGATTTGTGGCTACTACATGGAAAACCAAAAGGCTGGATGCAATGCGGAGGTGTCTTTATTATGAGCACAGACAGCAGATGCTTCTCAGATGGAACATGACCAAGGGCAGATACCAAAAGCCCTTTCTGCATTACAGCCCACAGCTGTCAGGTGTACATCATTTCTGCCATGTGGGACATTTTCTTTGGGATATGTAGGAAATACTCCATGTACCCTGAAAGGTCTTCAATAGTCACATCATCCACGTTAGCCCTGGCTTGCTCGGAACAAGACCTAAGAGAGCTGGAGGGAGTTCTTGAGGGTAGAACCTGGGAGTTGTCCTGCATGTGCGTCGTCCTTTCAGGTGCTGACGGAAGAGAGTTGTGTAGGTCAGGAAATGTGTAGACTTTCATGTCCTGCCATTGCTGACACTGGCAGGTCTTGTCGGTGCATGCACAGAGATTGCCTTTGCTTCCCTTGGAGAGAGACTGGAAATCGGCGAGATCTGTGGCTTTTAGAATGGCTGTGGGAAGAGAAACAGCGCCACCTTCAGGTTTGTTCTTCAGCATCTCTACGGTGGATGCCGCAGACTGCTCAGCACCGTTCTGCCTGGGATCAGCATTACTAAGAAGATAGCTGGATTGTTCAACCTTTGAGAATTCTTTTGGAGCTGGCATATCAGCACCAGGGCTACTTTCAGAGGGGTTGGTGGAATTCTTGGATGCTGGCTGGCTGCAGGAAGACGTCTGGGTACTGCAGTGAATGAACTTTGGAGGATGGAGTATTGGAGATTTTGACCGCCGCCGCCGTGTTCTTGCAGTTCCTCTCAAGGGCTTCCTCAAACAACTGAAAAATGAAGCAAAATTAATTGTTCCATCTGCACAGCTGACCATTAAGTCATTCTGTCCTGTGACTCTGCAACTTTTCTGATAGTTCAGAAAATATCATTCCTTTCCTATACACTGAATGGGAAAAGACTTTCTCCACACAATTGAGGTCGTATAGGTTACCCTTGCTCGAAAGCCAGTTGAATCCGACTCTAGGGTGCGGTGCTCATCTCCGTTTCCAAGCTGAAGAGCCAGTGCTGTCCGAAGACATTTCCATGGTCATGTGGCCAGCATGACTAGATGCCGAGGCGCACGGAACACTGTTACTTTCTCACTGAAGTGGTACCTATTTATCTACTTGCAATTTCTTGCTTTCGAACGGCTAGGTTGGCAGGAGCTGGGATCAGAGACGGGCGCTCACTCCATCATGCGGCACTTAAGTCTCAAAAACTGCTGAACTACCGACCTTCCGGTCTGCAGTTCAGTGTCTTAACCACTTGAGACACCGCAGCCCCCATTGAGGTCATATACTAAAGAGCAAAGATTTGAAATGTATTATCTAGAGTCTTATTGTGATGCTTTAATGTTCTCTGCATTATAATGCGTATTTTGGAACTAATATACACAGCACATTTTAAGCCTCCTAGGACTCTTTGAGCTAGTATACTAAAGACCTGCTTCCCCTCTCCTCTCCCTTATTTAAAAAGAAAGATGACAGAACGGATTCAACACAGGGATTTTTAAAGTAGAAAATATATAGTAGCATGAGTGCTTTTCACAGCTAATCTGAGATGGATTTCTTTCTTTTTCTCTCTACAGACACATTAAAAACAAAGCAAAAGTATGAAAGACAACAGAAATACCCTGAAAGCCCCCTTGAAGCAAGCAACTGCCATAAACAAGGGTCCATAACATGGACAGACATTCAAACTGTGTGCATGGCAGAGGAACTAGAATGGCGAGATCAGCTTACCAACAGCACAACTGCTTCTGTCCAGGCAACCTGGACACTGAAAGACTATAGTACAGTAGAAGTGTCCTACAGACATTAGGCTCTGCGCACGAAGGCCTCCATGCAAACATTGAATTGAACTTTACTATGACAGAATGACCCTAATTCTCCTGTGTCCCCCCCCCCCCCCCCCCCGCGGGGGGGGGAAACCACGACACCGCACGCGG